GCGCAAAATATAAAGTAACAAAGCGCCGGTGGGACGCTAGAGTTTACAACCATGGCAGTTCTCAACGCTCGTCGAGGCGAGAACGGAGAAAAAAAACAGTAGGGCATGGCGTCATGTAGCTGCAATTTATGCAAAAATAAAAGAACGCGGCCGCGCGCGCGTGCGAAACCCGGTCGTTTTTATTTTCGCGTGCCGCCCCGTGTTTAATTTTCTGCGACCCGTCGGAAAAGGGAGAAAAATCGGCAGTCGCGCAAGATTTTTAGCCGGACATAAACATCCGCGAACGCGGCGTACGGCTCGGATTCTCGCGTGAATTCACGAAGTAACTCGGTTAAATCGGTTACTTTCCCCCACTCGATTCGGCAACGCAAAGTTGCGAATCGACCGATAACGAACGAGGGGGTGAAGGATGATCGTGTTTACACCGCTGATGAAAATGGGAATAAATCGGGCCGATGTTACACCGGAGGGATCTCTGAATTTGCGATAAATTCGAAATTCGAGGCGATTTCCCGTGCCGGGAAATATCTTCAACGAGCGATAATCTCCATATTTCCATTTCACCTGTGATGCACAGTTTTCATTCGTGTTTTCTTGTTGCGATTAGAAACATAAATATCCTCGTGTGTGTGTGTGTGTGTGTGTGTGTGTGTGTGTGTGTGTGAGAGAGAGAGAGAGAGGGACAGCGCGGAATAAATTTAATCTGTTCCAATGCATCCCGATTGCAACGGGAGAGCACGAGGGTAAAAAATGCGGAGGACGACAGTCGTATTTTATTGTTGTCGCCGTTGGTTTGCACGATACCCGTGGAAGCCGTGCAAAGACGCGTCGTAATTTCGACCAAGTAATCCATCGTGGCGGTTTAAAGGAAGAATGGTCAAGTGATGTTAAGGAGTGCTAATGTAGAGCTTGTATAAAGATAAGCGGTTAACAATGAAGGAGAGAGAGAGAGAGAGAGAGAGAAAGTAAAGTGAAGTTTTGAATGTGCCCATTCCGCGCGTCCGCGTAACAACATGTAATTACCAACCTCAATTATTTAACGCTGTAACGCCGCGTGTAAGGGAATTGCACTTAAAATGCAGTTACTAAATGTCATAATGGAGTAAATTAGGGGAGTTCCGCGGCCACGATTATTTCGCGACGAAACGCTGTCTCGTTTCCCGATTATTATTATTATTCACGTGGCGTGGAAGCGTGCGATGGAAATATTTTCAATAATTACGCGGCAAAGTCCGTCGTTTCGCGAGAAACGTCGGGCTCGCGTGATTACGTTAATTCCGACGTAACTTCCGGGCTGCGAGCCGAAAACGCCCGTTTAATCTTTGCAGGATTAGGATGCGAGTCGCGTGAATGCGCGCAAATCCATCGGCGTTTCGTACGTATTTTGCCAGCTTTGTGCGTATACGCGGATGCCCTTACGTATGCCGATGGCGCAACCCCCGGGGCCTAATCTTATCCCGCCAACTAGTTAAATTAGACTACGGGATCAGCCGCCTTCCCGACCGCCGATGCTCACCGATCGTAGACGACGCGATCGATCTGTATCGCAGGGCGTGCGGTGTCGCAGTTACATGCGCGAACTCGAGTTACGAGCTGCGATCGACGTGCCTGGCGTGCATTGAAAAACTCGCGCGAAAAGACCGAGCTGGGTGGGTGATGAAAGACACGTCGGGCGGATTTTACGAATCAGGAATAAGTTGCGCGCAAAATTCGTTGATTTACAAACTCGCAGAGCTTTCCCGGCTCGTTCGCAATTTCGCAGATGTATGGATTCATAAATTTCCGAATTCATACATTACTAATAAGAGATCGCAGATGTGGCCCGGGGTTTATAGAGACTGCTAGATTTCACGGCGCGGAAATTTATAGGACCTCTCCTCTTCGGGTTTACACGAATAATGTGACGTGTCTGTTTTGTCCGGTGTCTCTGCGTTGCCGTCGAGGCCGCCGGCGGCATCATGCAAATTGCGCGTAGCGCAAGATTAATAATATTTAATTAAATGTAATTAGAACGCTGCTCTGTTGGAAAATAGAGGGGCGACGGCGACGCAACGAAAAATTACACACGCGCGACGCTCGCCGCGAGTGACCCGCGTCGCGGAATTTTAGACCGTTCTCTTCACTTGCCGAGTGAAAACGTGCGCCTCGGATCTCGCGAAGGGAGAAAAAATACGCGCACCTCCTCGCGCACCAAGAAGCTCTTTTCTGCGAGGATGGTCCTCCCGGCGAGTTACCTCCCGCCGAGCAATCTCACGAAATTGCACCGCGCGATTTCACGTCGTTCCGCCGACGTAACCGTTCGCATTCCCGACGTTCCCTTTTTCCGGGTCCTTCGACTTTCATTTGACTGACGGAAGGGGTGGTGAAGAGTATATAAGGCGGTGAGAGTTGTGGACAAAAAGATTTAGCGGAGACGGAAGTGGGAAAGGAAAATGGACAGAGAGAGAGAGAGAGAGAGAGAGTAACAAAAATGAATTATCTTATTTCTCGGGCGATATCGCTGTTGCCGAAAGTAACAGATGTTCGAGACCACCGAAGTGAGATATTAACTTGAGAAATATATAACAACACCAACACGGAAATATAATGGCGACACAGGCGCTCACGATCGCCATTTTAATTCTCTAACACGCCCCGAGGCTCGGGATATACATTCATTATCGAACGCGCGTTGCTTGTTTCTGCTCCTCCTTTTGCCCCTCTTCAATTTTTCCGGCTCCCAAACCCGCAGATACGCGACCCGGATCCACTGTTTTCCCTGTTCCCGTCGGTCTCGCGGAAAAGTAGGCCCGGTGGGGATCAGACTGACACCCGAGCTTTTACGTAACGCGCGACGAGCTGCATCCGAGCCGGGCCAAATATGTCATTTACTGACTATGCTCGTTCGTATGCACGTCCAGCGTGCTCCAGTTGACCGTAATTCACATGCTCAGATTCCGCGCGCGCAAGTTCACCGCGGAAAGTTACACGATCTGTATTCAAAAGCGATTTCCAGTGCTCGCGGCGGTCTCTCCGCCTCTTATGGGCATTTTCGCCCGTTGGCGCAGAGTTAGTTTCGCGATAACAAGACGCCTCGCGACGCGCGCGCTCTGCGAATCCAGAAAGATTCGCGAGTTCAGTGCTCGTAAGATGATATATCCGGGGCAAAAAATTGTTAGGGCCATCTTCATGATCATCTTCATGATAAAGCTGAAAGTAGGATGCCCTGAAAAGCGACCCGACTAGAAATTTTGATCAGGTTCACCTAACATTGATAAGGAGCTAATAGGGTGAATGAAAGTTAATCCTAAGTAAGTCCGTCCTTATAATGTCCTAACGACAAATAAGGTAAGGAAGACCTTTATAAGGTTATAATGATTGGGTCCACATTGCGACCTTAATGTACCAATCTAGTGTATCATATAATATGGTTCAGTTAATCAGGTCCTTGTCGGGATCTTATTCGTTGTACCTACTGATGATTTGCATTATCAAGTTTTAACGAAACAATTTTTGGGTGTCATTTCCAAATATAAAGATGTTTGCATTGAAAAAACACTTCAGATTGAATATATTTGTAAAATGCCACAGAAACTATTCTGTTTTTAGCAGTCAATAAATAGTTGTAAAATTAACGTGACATGCAACTCATCTCTTTAACACTACTTTATGTCTTGTCACCTTGTGATATTCATTTTATGTTTCTTTTCCGAAACGTTTTACAAGTATGCTCAAGCGATCTAAAATATTATTTCATGCAAATATCTTTCTATTTGGAAATGACATGAAAGAATTTTCAGCGTGTCATTTCTTATTTCTAATGTCATCATCCAACATAGTCGTGGCGAGTAATCAGGAGCCATAATTTGAAAAGAGAAACGTAATAAGGATTCCATAAGGTAACTCAATAAGGACCTGACTATGAATCCTTACTAAGCTACCTGATATCCACGTGACTTACTAGGACCCGATAGTATTACCTTATTGGGACCTGATGTCCAAATGAGGTTAACCTGATCAGGACCATGGGATAAATTTCTAGTCGAGGATGTCTCATTATTACCACATCGGGTCTCGAGATGGATCTTTTAAGGATAATTTAGATTTTACGAAATAAGGCTTTGATAAGGAGAACTGTGCTGAGGACCTTTTAAGGATGCTTTAGATATACAAAATCAAGTTTTGTTATAGAAAATGAATGAAATCTGAAGCGTGTGATAAAATTGTCATAGTTTAGTACTGTTTTAGTAGGTACGCTTTCTATCTGGTTCTTTTAAAGATTTTTTAATTACACCGCAATTAAAAACAAATTTTATTAGCTTTATTAGTTGCCATATTTATTAGTCTCTTCCAAGGATTTTTCTACTATTGCCTTCGTGTTGAAATGCAACAAACTTTAATAAAAACAGTAGCACGATCTTCATGTGTAAAGGATGCTATATTTTATTGTAAAATATGCTCTTATGTTTTTAAAATAAAAATTCGAGTTGTATACAAACAAGGTTATGAAGAAATAAAGAAATTATAGTCTAAATTTCTTGAAATGAAAAGAACGAATATTTTTACTCAAGCAATAATAAAAATATTTCCTTACAAGGCTCTCATAATATTGCCTTATAAGGACCCGTTGAACCATTTATTACACATCTTGTAAGGCCCTTGTCTTTCTACCCCTACTAGGGGGTAGAAATGTTGGATTAATGTTGGAGAAAAATAATCAGACCTATTAATTTTTCTATTCGGGACGTTCGACAGTGAGATATCTCGCGATATCGCAAATCTCTGCCTAGATCTGTCGGCACGAGGAAAATCATCTCGTATGCTCATCTCTTGTCAGGCAAAATCGCCTGAGAATCTTGAAACTTGGGCAGGCGCAAAATGCGCCGCGTGATGAAACGGAATTTTCATCCGCCGCGGTAAACCCGCGCTGCGCCCCGCGCGGCATCGGAGAAACATAAGACGAGTCGTCACGTGAATTCCGCGTCATTTACACGTGCATAAAAAATCGTGCGAGCACTCACCCGCGCTTTCGGCGTCTGCTTCAGTCCGATCGCTGGCTGGCTGCGGTTGCTCTGCAACAAGAAAAAGACCGAAACGGCCTCGTTATTCGATGCGAGAATGAATCCACAATGGTCGACGCGTGTAGGGGTGCTGAAACTCGCGCTCGAACTGCGTGTCGTTTAAACACTGTTGATATCGGCGGTGGAGGGGGGAGGAGGGACATCTTCGCCGAACGCCGAAAGCGACGAGACGAACCGCGATAAATCGTCGTCGTAAAAGGCGCCATCAAAACACAAACTCGCGGCTGCTGTTTCGTCGAGGGAGGGAAGGAGGATGGCTGGCGGATGAGCGAGAAAGAGAGAGAGAGAGGGGTGGAGGGGGCAGGTAACTGCATCGTAATTTGAGCGTATATTTATGACGGCGCACGTGCGGTCCGGGCCGCGAGAAGGGAGAAGCGGGGAGGGGTCGGGCGGTTAAATTCAAAACGCGCGTTTCCGACATTTCGATCGGCGCGCGATCTCCCCCCGGCTACAACCGGAAGAATCTACCCCGCCGCCGGCTCCGGGTGTATAGGAAACAGCTCGCGGATTCGTTCGCTCGCCCCCCTCACCCCCGCTATTTCCGGTTCGCGAATCAATCCCTCGCGAGGGGCGCGGGAAGGGGAGAGGTGGACAGCCGGGACACTGTTTCGCGCGGTATCGCGGCCGTTGTCGTCGTCGTTGTTGTCGTCGTCGTCGTCGTCGTCGTCGTCGTCGTCGTCGTCGTCGTCGCTGCGAACGATCGGACGATAAATTCACGAAGCGAAACGCGCCGCGGCCGGCCGTTATTGCCGCGAATGCGTAAATCTTAATTGGCCCGTCGCGCTCGCGACACGAACGTGAGCCGAGCTGGCGTGAACGAACGAATGAGAACGAACGAGAACGAGTCGGTCGGGCCACGCACGGCGAAATAACGGCGCGTTGGAAACTTATCCCGGCAGAATGACGAAGCGGCCGAAACACACGGAGAGTAGTCACGTATCTCGCGGCGATTTAATTAAGCCGTCGCACCCGCCATACATCCCGGCGTTGATTAAGCTGTTTTCGACCGGACGTCGATATGCATTTTTCCCCGCGCTGATTGCCGCCGCATTTGCAACGAGCCGGCGGCCCATTCTTTTTTTTTTTTTCTCGCTCTTTCACTCTCTCTCTCTCTCTCTCTCTCTCTCTCTTTTTTTCGCAAATGTTCATTGAAAGGTCGTAAAGCCTGCGCGGTGCGCGCAGTGTGTACAGCATACACGCACATACACACACGCACGCACGCACACACACGTCGATTTCCGCGGCGGACGCAGCCCTTTTTCACGCGATTCTTTTTGTTCCTCCTCTCTTTTTCTTGCGCACGCGGCGAAAGACCCCGTGCGCAAATTTCTCGAGTATGGCTTGTTCCTCGCGAATGTTTCCCTTCTCTTTCTTTCTCCTTCTTCTCGTTCCTTCACACCGGGCTTCGACTCGCGTACATCGCATCGCGCGGGGAATGTTTAATCCGCGCGAAGGGAATCACGAGGGCTCAGTAGGGCAGGAAGTGTACGGCGTTTTCGCCGCACTTGGCCTTCCGCAGGCGCCGGCGACCCACGGAATAACCAACCCCGCGGTAAAAGCTCTCGCCGCCACTCCCGCCAACTTTATCATAGCGCGGGAATTTACATAATATAATCTTTTATATACGATCGCGTTTTTTGGATAACGAAGCTCTTAGCGAGCTCGTGTCGATCCAGCGCTGTATCAACGACAGCGCGAACAACCTTCTCCCCTACTTGTTATCTTCAGTCGGACACGTGACGTCTCTTTAACGGGGTTGGAGGGTCAGATTGCTGAAAAATCGTGCTTGTTTTTGATAATATTTTGTGACGAACTGAATATATGCGCGAGAATGAAAATTTTAGGTACAGTCAAACAACGTATGAAGAGGAGGAAAATTTTGTTTATCAACAAATATTCGTACAAATATACGACATACTACTGTGATCAAGAAATAAGGTGAATTTGTTTATAAGATGAAAAATCTTTATTTATTCTTCCAAATCAATTTCATCGCCTTCAAAGTACTCCCCGTCCGACACAATGCACTTATGCCAACGTTTTTTCCAATCCTCGAAACAATCAGAGAAGTCTTTTTCCGGGATGGCCTTCAACTACTTTCTTCGATTCGGCTTTTATCTCCTCAATCGAGTCGAAACGGTGTCCCCGGAGCGGTCTTTTGAGTTTGTTGAACAGCCAGAAGTCGCACGATGCTAAATCACGCGAATACGGTGGTTGTGGAACGATATGGGTCGAATTTTTGGTCGAAATGTTCTCGAAGAACCAATGCAGTGTGGGACCAATGCATCATCGTGGTGCAAAAACTAAGAATTGTCTGCCCATAATTCTGGCCTCGTGATTCGATCAGAGCGAATTTTAGCTAGAAATCTTGAGGAGGCTTATCATTATTCGGTGAACCACTAGAAAAAAAAATGGAACAAAATTAACAAAATGGCAGCTATTATTAGGAAAAAATTCCAATGTTTCAGTTCTTTTGCAATAAAAAAGTTAATATCTCAAAATGAAATATTTTGACGGAGTTATCCATCGTTCACCTGAGAGCCACATGAACAAATATTGCTTTAAAATTTCAAATCGATACGAAGCTCAGTTTCGGAGAAATCACTGCAAAAGGTTGAACAATAAAATTTCGAGAGAAACGCGTTTAAAATTTAAGTGGACGTATATCTATATGAATATTTGTTTAAAAACAAAATCTTGCTACTCTTCATATGTTATATAAATAGATGTAAAATTTTCATTCTTGCACATTTATTCAGTTCGTCACAAAATCATTATCAAAAATAAGCACGATTTTTCAGCACCCTGACCCTCCAGTCCCCTTAAGGGGTAACATCTGAGTGAACGCCTGAATAGAGTTCGCAGAGTAAGTTTGGGAATTTTTTGTAGTTAAATAACAGCATAGATGGAAAATTGGTTTGAAGGCCTCTAACGTGCATACCTTAAACTACACAAAACAATTTTTTGTTATTATTTTGCCTCAAGATGGCGGCGCTGAAGCTCTCCAAGTAAAACCACGTTTTTCGAATTGGCTTGCAGCAGAACTTCAACAAATTTCATCCGATCCACTCGACATTTTTACAGTAGCTGCTAAACTAAATTCTCTAGAGAAGTACACGTGATTTTTTTACGATCGGTTCAAAACTTTTGTTATTATAAATATTTTTTCACTGAATTTCTTGGATAAAACTGAAACTTTTTTCCTAATGTTCATCATTTCTACAAAAATCAATATTTTAACATATACGTGTGTACTTCTCCAGCAAATTTAATGTAGATTAACAAAAATTTTCCCTTTTTGTCCTTTTTGAAAGTGTACGGCATTTCTGCTGCAAGCCGCGGGGATGACCCATGAGAAAAATGCGGTTTTACTTGGAGAGCTTCAGTGGTTTAAGATGTGCACGTTAGAGGCCTTCAAACCAATTTTCCATCCATGTTGTTATTTAACTACAAAAAATTCCCAAACATATTCTGTGTTTTCAGGCGTTCATTCAGATGTTACCCCTTAATTAAAGTAGACGGAACGGAGGAGGAGGGAAGAAAAGAGAGAGTCCTCTGTTGCGGAAAAGAATATTCTCTTATTAAAGAAAAATTGGCCCGCTCGGGCTCGCGATTCGCTCTCTCTCTCTCTCTCTCTCTCTCTCTCTCTCTCTCTCTCCTCTCTCTCTCTCTCTCCCCCCCCCCTCTCTCTCTCTCTTTCTCGCAACTTAGAACTCGGCGGAAACTTTTTTCTCGCATCCTCGGAGAAATCCCGGCGGCGGCTTAATCCGCGACGGGACACGTTGATTACGCCGGGCATTTGCATTTAAATATCCTCGCGAGTCGCGACTTTGCGCGCTCGCGGAAACGCGCGACCTGTCAGTCGGCCGGCCGGCCGGCCGATGATAATTAGCGCGCGTTTAGCGGCATTTCGCCCGTCGGCGAAAATCGGCTAACGGATATACTGAGAAACAAACGAGCTCTGTACGAGACGCGATAATTAAGCGGTTTATCTCGATTAATTCCGGATAATTACGTCTGGCAATTAGTCCAATTCCCGCGATTGTCCAACGCAGCCAGCGTGTACGAGCGAGCGGCTCTCCTCGCCTCGGTCGCCGACAATCGCGCGGTACGCGGCGCGTAAACGCCGTGACAGCTGCGCCGCCCTTAGCGGCTCCCGGGCTCGTTCGGACGCTCTCTCGACGACTTTCGCCGACGCCGACGCCGACACCGACGGTCGGTCGGTCCTGAATCGCGAGAATTGTCTCGTAAACCGCACTACTTCGGAGAACGTTTCCCCCAGCACTCGCGCGCGCCGCCGCGCCACGCCGTGTCGGTCAACTCGAGCCGTCATTTACATTTTATCGCGTAATAAGACGACCGACGAGAGAGCGCGAATTACGCCGCCGAATATTCACTCACCGCTGGGGAATGGCGGCTGGGGAAAATTGGCGGTCACGCTCCTCGATCAGCACGGCACTTATCCCGCGGCGGCGGGCGGCGTTTGATCGCGATTTTCGGCTCGAGGAACCGGGCCACCGCGTCGTAGGCAAAAATTACGCGAGCGAACTTGAGCGCGCTGGAGGATGCTCGGATGGGACTCCAGAGGGCGGAAGAATTCACTCGCGGGGGCGGCGCGCCGCGCCGCGCCGGCCAAGCGCCTCGGCCAGGTTCCGCTGGCTGCTCGTCGGCGAATTTGCCGGAATTTGGCAGTAACGCCGGCTGCCCGGCCATTACTGTATTTGTAATTACTCCGAGTTTTCCATCATGTCCCCCCCTCTCTCTCTCTCTCTCTCTCTCTCTCTCTCTCTCTCTCTCAGTCTCTCGCTTCGCCGCGCCGCGCCGCGCCGCGGATATGATATTCCAAAGCGACTCGACCTACTTGCAGTAATTGCGGACCGTCCAGCTTTCTTAACCTGCTTGTACGGCCTCGCCGGCTTCCGCCCCGTCCCGCCGACATTCTCTGCCATTTTTCTTTCACCCCTTTCGCTGTCTCTCTCTCTCTCTCTCTC